AATAATAATATATAATAAAAATATAATATATAAATAAATTTATTATACATTTTAATGATATTTACAAATTAAATATTAATTAAATAGAGTAATAATATTATTTTGTAATATAAATTTTATAAAAAAATATAAATAATAGAAAGAATTCACATAATATCGCACCCCCCATCATTTGATTGAGATAGTAGGTTACCAATCCCCCCTGTAAAGGGGGGGGAAAGAATAAGATTTAAGAAATTATTTTTTTATTTAAAATTATTATTATCATTAATTTCATAAATTTATAAATTATTTCTTATAATTTTTATTATAAATTTTAATTTTATATTATAAATTTTAATTTATTTTTGTAATAATTTTTATATAATTATTTTTGTTTATATTATTAATTATAAATATATATAAGTATATGTTTTTTTGTTTATATATTGTTTTATTCTAAAGATTTTTTTTATTTATTCTATATATATAAATATAAATTAAATATTTTTATTAAATAAAATTTACATTAAATTATGTAATTAAAAATAATAAAAATGAATTTTTTAAATAATTCTTTTCCTCCCCCCCCTTTTTAGGGGGCTTTAGAATGATCTTATTTTAAACCAAATAATTTGGGGGTGTATAGTGAAAATTAAAATAATCTTAATTAATTTTTTTTATTAATATTTTATTTATAAATACAAATTTTTATAAATATAATTCTTTTATTAATTAAATTAAATTAATTTATTAAATATTCTTATTTAAGATATTTTTATGTAATATTATAAATATAAAGAGATTAAATAAATAATGATATAAATAAATATAAATGTAATATGAATAAAGTAAATAGAGATAACACCCCCCTAGTGAATAAATAAAATTAGTTAGTTCTGAATTCCCCCCCCTAAAGGGGGGGAGGGAGAGATTTATAAAATTTATTTATTCTTTTTTTTGATAGAATAATTTTTTATATAATTATTTATAAAATTTTTTTATAATAATTCTAAAATATTATTATTATTATTATAGATTAACACCTGTAAAAAATAAATATTTTTTTTATTTTTTCTAATCATTACTCCCCCTCTAAAAAGGGGGGGGGTTTTAGAATGATCTTATTTTGATCAAATCATTTGGGGGTGTATAGTATACATTTAATAATATTTAATTATTATAATTTAATTATTATACTTTTTTTTATAATTTATTCTTTATATTTTATTAATACAAGTATTTATTTTTTATATCATTATTATTAAATATTTATCATAGATAGAATAATATTTATTTGTTTAATCTTATAAATAAATAAGGAATTAAATATTATATTTCCTTATTATTAATAAAATGATTATTATAATTTAATGATTTGTAAAATAATTATATAATTAATTTTATAATTAAAGAAGTAAAAATTTATTTATTATAATAGTATAAAGATAATGTAAATAAGGATAAAGAATATGATAGAAAATATTTAAAGTAAACAATATGAGTAGTAATAATACCCCCCTAGTGAATAAATAAAATTAGTTAATTCTGAATTCTTAAGAGGGTTTAATTTTTAAGAAAAAAGTATTATTTTTAATAAATTTTAATTTATTACTAAATATCATTTTATATTTAAATTAAATGAAATGTATTTAAAAATTATTTATATAAATTTATGTAAATAATAAAATTAAATATTTTACTTAAAAGTAATTTTTATTATTTAATAATTAATTTATTAAAAATTAATCTTTATAAATAAAAAGCATATAAGTATATGTATTTTGTTAAAAAATTTATCATATAAATTTTAATGAATATAAACAAAAGAAATAATTAACATTATAATGGATAAGTTTATTTATATTATAAAAAACAAAAAATATAAATAAAAGAAATAATAATTGGAATACTATATCCCCAATCTTTATATTGGTTTAGTTAATTATTAACCCCCCCCACTTTACAGGGGGGTAAAGAATAAATTTTAAGAAATAATTTTTATTTTTATTATTATTGATATTTATATTTATAAATATTCATTATATTTTATTCATTTTAAATAATTTATTATATGTATTTATAAAATTATTATTAAAAAAAATATATATATTTAAAATTTTATATATTCTTATTATTATAGATTAATATCTTTACTTAAATAATAAAAGTTTTAAAATTTATTTAATTAATACTCCCCCCTATAAAGGGGGGCTTTAGAATTTATAAAATAAATATAATTATTTGGGGGGTGTATTATAAAAACTAAAAATTTATTAATTATAATAATTTAATTTTATTATTATATATTAATATATAATCATTATTATTTATAATTAATTATAATATATAACTAATAATTATATTATATGTCAAATATCTATTATATAATAGAAATAATTTATTTAATATAATATATAAATAAGACATTAAATATTATATTTTTTTAAAATAAATAATTTTTTTATAATAATTAATAATATTAAAAATAATATTTAAGATATTAATACTTAATTATAAAATATAATTATTATATGTAAATATATTTGTAGGAATAAAATAAGAAATAAATAAAGGAAATGGTTCTTATAATATCACACCCCCCAATCAATTGATTGGGCTAATTGGTTACTAATCCCCCCTGTAAAGGGGGGGAGAAAGAATAAAATTTAAAAAATTAATCTTTTTTTAATTATAAAATTTTTATAAATTTAAGAATTTAATATCTTTATTATAAAATATAAGTAATAATATATTATTAATATTAATAAGAAGAATGTGTTTAGTATATTGGTATTACTAGCTAAGCTGTAGTCTTAGTAGCATATTGTGCTGTGTAGGTTCAATTCCTATCACATTCAATTTAAATAATAATTATAATATAGGTTAAAATATAATCTATATTTCTTCATTATTATAAAATAATTAATTAAATAAAAAAAAATATATATATAATAAAATGTATATATTTATATAATAAGGTATAATAGAATCGAACTATTACTCTGCTACGTGTAAAGTAGTTGTTTTACCATTAAACTAATACCTTATATTTATATATTATTACTAATATGTTAAAAATATTAGTGAAACAGACATAGGTTGAATGGTGAGACGCTGAGATTGGGACTCAGAGGAAGTTAGTTCGATTCTAACATGTCTGAATATATAAAATTATTTATAATTTTATTTTATATAAAAAAAATTAAAATATAAGTATATAAATATAAAAAATATTAATATTTATATAATGGGAAATAAAAATGGGAAAGAAATCATTGGCTAGATGTGTTTATTGCTATTAAATTTGGTTATCCTGTGTAAGTTCGAATCTTACCTTTCCCGGTTAAATAAAAAAAAATAAGTGACTAATTTGATTATTGATCTAAGAAAAAATAAATAAATATAATAAAGATCATAATATATTATTAAATGAATAATATAACAATAAATTCTATAAATACAATTAAAAACAACCTTATAGCGAAAGGGTACCAATGAGTAGAATCATGATTATTTTCCACTAATGCTAAGCAGATAGGGATGTGCGCCATGAGAGCGTGCTTAGTTATATATTGTAGACTGGATACAATATTATGTATTGTGAATTCTTTTATAGAATACATATCTCGGGTTTTGGTAATATGTAAACCTAATAAGATACATATTATGAAAGCACAAAACAAATGTAAAGTTAACTCGAAGAACTCTAGAGAAAAAGGCTTTATAAGAGAGGATTTCTATGCTTACGTTAAGAAACTTGTATACGTATTGGTTACCACGACTGAGGTTGTGATATATGAGTTCTTAGATATCATATGGATCATTGCTATAATAAAAGATTCCTGTTATTATGGTTATTCACAAGATCCAAGCCCACCTAAAGAGGAAAGTTTATCTATTGAAGATAATAATGCGCAAGAAGCTAAGGAAATCAAACCAGAACAATCAGAATCAAATCTGAATGTTAAAGAAGAACTAAGTAACGAACCATGGGATGTAACCGCCTCTGGTGATAATAATGTTATTGCTAAGCGGGCACGGATGAATCGTAGTACGGACCTTGAAAAAAAGGGAAGGAAGGGTTCAAGTAATGAAGAATCTGATAATAAAACAAAGACAGTGAGAAATAAAAAAGCTCATACCTTTGTTTTAGAAAGATTAGGTAAATATTACGATAAAAGTACAAATACATATAACGGTATAATTAAGGTATTAAGAAATACCGAATTCTTACAATTATGTTATTTGGAAATCAAGTCTAAACTTGGTAACATGACCAAAGGATTAGATAGAACCACCTTAGATTCTATATCTATGAAAACATTTGAAAATTTATCTAAATCTATAATGAATGGTTCATTTGACTTTAAACTAGCCAGACGACATATGATTCTAAAGAAGGATGGCTCTTTAAGACTATTAGGTATATCCTCTCTAATAGAGAAGATAGTACATAAAGGATTACAAGTAATTTTAGAGTGTATCTTTGAACTATTGTTCGAAGAAGAATCTTATGGATTTAGACCAAATAAATCTGTACATTCAGCCTTGAAACTTTTATATTTAAAAGGACATCATCATACATGAGTAATACAGGGAGACATTACAAAATGTTTCGATAGTATACCTCATGATGTAATAATGGACTCTTTAAGGAATCATATAAAATGTGATAAATTTTTAATAGTAATTAATAAATTATTAAAGGCAGGGTATAAAAACCTGGTAACAGGAAAGATTATGAAATCTAATATGGGTACACTACAGGGTTCTGTAGTAAGTCCAATGTTAGCTAATATTGTATTAGATAGATTCGATAAAATAGTAAAATATTCCATCATGCTTGAATATACTAAAGGAAAAAGACGTAAGTCTAATCCGGAATATGATAAATTAATATCTATTCGGTATAGTAGAACAAAAGGTCTATTACATACTCTAGAAGCTAGACAAGCTTTATTAGATATGCGTAAGATACCTAGATATCAAACTAATGATCTTAATTTTAGAAGATCTATGTACATTAGATATGCAGATGATTTTGTATTTTTATTGGCAGGTCTTTATAAAGAAGCATTAGAAATAAAATCTAAATTAGCAGATATTTTAAAAGTTGAATGTGGGTTAGAATTAAATGAAAAGAAAACATTAGTAACTCATTTATCAAAAGGTTTTGAATTTTTAGGAGCTAATATTAAGAAGTTGAAGTATGACAATGAACCAATATTTGTATCTCATACAAAAAATGGTAAACTTGTTAAACAAAGACGAGCAGTTAGATTGAGATTAAATGTACTGTTTAAAAAATTAATTAATCGTTTAATCGATAATAAATTTATTAGACGTAATCATTTAAACAAGATCTATGCTACTCTTAAGGATTCAGTTATCCTATTAAGTCATGATCGTATCGTAGAATTCTTTAATCAAAAATGAAGAGGAATATTAAATTTCTATTCATTTGCAGCCAACAAACATATGTTGGGCAATGTGCATTGATTATTGAGATACTCATTAGCTAAAACATTAGCTAAGAAGTACAAATTATCATCTGCTAGGGCTGCATTTAAAAAATTCGGCCCTTGATTAAAGTGTCTAGATACTGATATTATGTTTATTCTAACAGTTCTTTTATTAACAAATCATGATTATAAAGTAGGTAAAGAGTTAGACTGAAAATTAGATATATTAGATACTAATTGGTTTGGTACTACCACTCAATCATCTATATTTAAAAAATGTTGTATTTGTGGTTCTACTAATAATTTAGAAATGCATCATTTACGTAAAGTTAATGATGTTCGTAGTAGTTATAAATCATTAGATTTATCTTATAAGAAATGAGTTGGATCTTTACAACGTAAACAAATACTATTATGTAAATATCATCATATGATGTTACATAGAGGTCAATTATTACATTATGAAGTGAGAATTATAAACTCTTATAGAGAAAATTTAGGATTATTTCTAGAAACGCTACCAAGTACTAAAGATAAGTAATCAAATATTTACTGTCTATTTAAATGACTTCATTATGGAAAGCCGTATGATGGGAAACTATCACGTACGGTTTGGGAAGCAGTAATGAGTAATTATTGACTTCACTTTATATGGAATTTTCTCATTATTCTCTGGAGTAGTAGGGTTAAGTTTAAGTATAATTATGAGATTAGAATTAGCAGCACTAAATCTACAAATATTAATGCACAACGGGCAATTATTTAACGGTGCGCCTTTGTGTTTATATTATCGGAATAATTACTTGATAATTATCGTATTATTAATCACGAATAATATAAAAATATATTATTCATACGTAAAGCATATAACTTACCTAATTAGGGCCAACTTAATGGGGACAATAGCATGTTATAAAAAGGATATGATTGGTGTATTCTGAGCTAAGGATTGCATGACTAGGTTAACGAACTCCTTTAAAGTCTTTTTTTGGGTATCAATTCCCTCTTACCATTCGGGTATAGAATACTCAGCTGTCAAATTATACGTTGAGGTTTGATGGTTGTGATTAATGAGATTAATAAATACAAGCAGTATTAAGAAAGATGGAGGGTCTAAACAATCTATTAACGGTAATATAAGAACTAAGGGATCAACTGAAAAAGGAAACTTTGGAGTTGACAGAGGTCTCGTAGTACTGAATATTCATCGAAAGATGAATTTTAATATATTAGGTAATACTTTACTTAATACATTAATAAGGAAGGGGACCAGGGGATTCTCTACTAAGGAACTAAATACTTCGGATTTAAAAGAATTAGTAGAATTGGCTAAATTAAGTGAAAATAAAGATATTAAATTAAATAATTTATTAAAATTATGTAAAGATCCTGATTTATTAAAATTAGTTTATAATAAAATTAAGAGTAATCTAAGTAATATGATTGAAGGTACTTCTAGACAAACTTTAGATGGTATTAGTAATAATTGATTTGATTTTATTTCTAATGAAATAGGATCGGGTAGATTAAAAATAAATCTAAGTCGTAGTATAGAAATACTTAAACTAAAAGGTGGTACTAGACAATTAAGTTTTGGTAATCTACGAGATAAAATTATACAAGAATCTATAAAAATTATATTAACAATTATATTTGAACTATTAATGTCAAATAATAGTCATGGTTTTAGGCTTAATAAAAGTTGCCATACAGCTATTTGACAAATAAGAAATAATTTTAATAGTGTTAATTGATTTATAAAAATTGATATTTTAAAATGCTTTGACAGTATTCTTCATAATTTAATAATATCTCAATTAAAAAAACGTATTGATGATCAAGGTTTTATTAATTTAATTAGTAAAGTTTTAAAAGCTGGATATTATGATAGTAAAGGTGTATATCATAATCTAAATTATGGAATACTTCAAGGAGCGACTATAAGTCTTATTTTAAGTAATATAGTTTTATCTTTGATTGATGATTGATTAGATGAATATATTGATAAATTTAATTGCGGAACAGTTCGTAAAATAGATCTAAAATATAGTAAATTATCTCAATTAATTAGACGTGCTAAATTATTTTCAGAAAGAATAAAATTATCTAAATTAAGAGCTAAAACTACAAATCTTCATCTGAAAAATGATCTAGATTTTAAAAGATTAAAATATGTTAGATATGGAGATGATATTTTATTAGGTGTTATAGGTTCTAAACAAGATTGTATTATTATACAAGATAGTTTAAGTAAATTTATAGAAACTTTAAATTTAAATATTAATAAGGATAAAACATTTATTAAATGTGCTAGTAAAAAACTAGCTAGATTTTTAGGATATGATATTAAAATTACTCTAAGACATAAGTATCTTATTGTTAATAAACATTATAGTATTAGAACTATAAGAGGACTTAATAATACTAGACTTATAATAAATGCTCTAATTAGATATATATTAAATAACTTAGTAGATCATGGTTATGCTAGATCTTGTAAAAATGGTAGATTTGCTCAACTTACAGGTTTAGGTAGATTAATGCATGAAGAAATTCATGTAATTATAAATCATTATTTAATGGTAGGTAGAGGAATCTTAAGTTATTATAGATTAGCTACTAATTATAATAAATTAAAACATCGTATTTGATATACTTTATATTATTCTTGTGTATTAACATTGGCAAAAAAATTAAGAATACTTACTAAAAGTAAATTAATTAAAAAATTAGGTTTTCTATTAAGAATTAAGGACAATAAAGGCGATATTATAACTCAATTTCTTAGAAATGTATTTGATAATATTGTTAGAATAGATTCAGAATATTCATATAAAGCATGAATTAATAAATCTAATTTTAATGAATTATCTCCTATACTTTTATTATTAAAAAAATTAAAATATTGATTACTTGCTTCTCGTCAAACATTAAATAATCTTTGTATTATATGTAATTCATATAAAAATGTAGAAATGCATCATATAAAAAATTATATAGATTAAGATTATTTAAACGTTATGATTATATAACATCGAGAATGATTTTAATTAATAGAAAACAAGTACTATTATGTAGAGATTGCCATATAAAATTACATAAGGGTAATATTACTTATAAAGGTATAACTTCTAAGTTAGGTCTTGGCTTATAATCTCTGGAGAGCCGTATGATGGGAAACTATCACGTACGGTTCGGTGGGGGCTTTTATATTTAATAGAATAAAACCTATTAGATATACTACTGCTACCCAATTCTTGGTGACCGCTCATGCCGTCTTTATGATTTTCTTTATGGTTATGCTAATAACTATGGGAGCTTTCAGTAATTACTTAGTTCTATTAATGATAGGTACAAGTGATACAGCATTCCTAAGAATAAATAACATTGCATTCTGATTATTAGTACTTAGCTTATTATTTGCTGTATTAAGTACAATAATTGACGAAGGTCTAGGAACAGGTTGAACTGTATATCTACCATTATCATCATTACAATCACATAGTGGTATTTCTGTTGATATGGCTATATTTGCATTACACTTCTCAGGATTCTCATCTATATTTGGATCAATAAATTTAATGGTAACAATAATGAATATGCGTGCTAACGGTATGGATTATTCTAAATTAAATTTATTTACTTGAAGTGTATTAATAACAGCTGTATTAATATTAATATCAATACTAGTATTAGCTGCTAAACTAATAATAATAAAACTGGCAGCTTTATATTTCGCTATATGCTGGAACATCCATTTATTTATTAATGGACAATCAGCAGGTAACTTATACAATATATATAATATAAGGAACCTCAGAGACTACACGCGAAAGTTAATTATATATTTTTTAATAAATCCTTTAAATTTATTATTAAATAAGTATAATAATTATATTAATAATTTACTTATTAAAGAATTAAATAATTTTGATAATAATTTATATTATAATAATCAATTAGGTTATTATTTAGCCGGTTTAATTGAAGGTGATGGTTCTATTAATGTTCTTACAACATTAAAATCAAAATTAGGTAAAAATAAATATCTATCAATTCAAATAACATTTATTAAAAAAGATTTTCTATTAGCTATGATTATTTCTAAAAATTTAAATTGTGGTTCAATTTCAAAAAAAAAGAATGTTAATGCCTATGATTTAGTAATAAATGATTATTTGGGATTATTAAGATTAATAAAATTAATAAATGGTAAATTTAGAACACTTAAAATAGATAGATTAAATTTATTAATTGATTGATATAATTATAATGGACATTATCTATTAGAAAATAAATTAGAAAAATATCTAATTGATAATTCACTATTAAATAGTAATAGCTGATTATCTGGGTTTATAGATGCAGATGGTAATTTTTATATAAGACATGGATATAGTAATAAATCTTTAGTTACTAAAACTATATTTAGAATTTCTCAATCTAAATTAGATAAATGAGGGAATTCTAAATTATCTTATATGCAAAATATTGCTAATTTATTTTTTACTAAATGTAAATTAATAGATAGAACATCAACTAATAAAGGATATCATTATATAATAATAACTAACTCATTTAAAAGTAATATGGCAGTTATAGATTATTTAACTAGATATCTTTTATTTAGTAGTAAATATTTAGATTATTGTAATTATAAAGAAATAGTTAAATTATTTGAAAATAGATTAAACCATACACTAGATAATATAGAATTAATTATTAAAAATAAAAATTCTATGAATAATAACCGTATAGTCTTTAATTGAAATCATTTAAATAATTTTTATACAATTAATTAATAAGATATAGTCCCAACATATATGTAAATATATGAGTATTTACCTTAAATTATATTTATATATAATTTATGAATATATTATAATATAATATATATAACTCATTAGAAGTAGTAAATCAAGATAAAAATAATAAAAAAGGGTTTAACAATGTTATTAGCAGATAGAAACTTTA